CATGTGCGCGGTCCAAGGGGGGGCCAGGGACGCATTGTGATAAGAAGAGGCGCCATGAACTCTGGGGGGATCTCATGGCCCCCGCCATGATATCCCCCCCCTAGTCATGACCCCCGGAGGGGGAATAAAACCGATCACAGCCACTTCGGACTGTTCAGGAACTACTTCGGTCGGATTGCAACCATTGGGAACGGAATGATTGCAACCTAAAGGGTTCCTACACCAACCTTTCTGAAGAACACCGGATCGCAACCGATCGAAGAGGTTCTGCTGAGCTTCTGCAGAGCTTTCAGCGAGGCCTCTGAGAGGCCTCAGCGAGGCTTCTGCGAGGCCTCAGTGAGGCCTTTTCAGAGGCTTCTCTGAAGCCTTTCAGAGGCTTCTCTGAAGCCATTTCACAGGCTTCTCTGAAGCCTTTCAGAAGCTTTTCTGAAGCCTTTCAGAGGCTCGCGGCCCCAGAATAAGACCGATCACGACCACTTCGGACTGTTCAGGAACTACTTCGGTCTGAGAAGTATTTGTATCCTGAGATGTTTGTGTTCCTGGTTGCTTTGCGCTAGAGGGTTCTATACGTGGTAGCAGAGGACCCCAAAGCTTTCCAAGGTCCCGCGCGTTCCACAGGTCGCACAAGTCCACAGTTCCTACAGGTTGCACAAGTCCCAAGGATCCCACCGTTCCCGCCTGCCCCGCAGGCCCCACAGGTCCCACAGGTCCTGTGGCTCCCGGGCCCAGGGGCCGTCCAAAAGTGACTCAATATGCAATGTTGGTCTACTGTAGGTTCATGCGGCGTTGGCACGCCGGCGACGTTGGCGAAGGCGTTCAAGGCTGCATTCTGCGACGCGGAAGCACCGAGGGAAACGGTGGGGCCACTGCACCGACGAAATTCAACCTTGAACAATCGGGGCCGCGATCGATTCAAGATTGAACGATCGACGCGGTGGCAACAGCCTTGCGAATGCCGATGCCGCGCGAACCTACCGCAGGGTCATTCGTCCAGACCTGTGGGGGTCGACGTTCCAGAATAGTCATGATGTTGGGGGTCTGGGCCGCCGCCTCTTTCCGCCTTGCCATCCTGTCCTCAGTCCTCCTTTTCCTCCCCCTCCTCATCCTCCTCCTCCTCCTCAATCCTGCTCCTGCTCCTCCTGCTCCTGCCCTTCCTCCATCTCCTCCCTCCCTCCTCCTCCTCCTCCTCCTCCTCCTCCTCCTCCCCCTCCTGACATGCAATCCGTTTCACACCAGGCGTTTTTGCTCTTTTTCGGTTTCAATCGTGTACGCATCACATAGGAACCAGATACGGATCATGGCCACGTTCGAGCTCAAGTACATGTGTTTAGTTGATATCATGATCGGCCGTCGGTGATCGGACCGATCGCAACCGCTTTTTCAGATTCCCATTAGGCGGTTTAAGGGAGCTCATTGCACCCAGAAGCGCTCTTATGATCTCTTCCTTAATCGAAACCTTATTGAAACGACCCAACAACATCGCAACCACTTCGGACCGATCGCAACTGGTTGCAATCGGTCCGAAGTGGTTGACGATCGGTCCAAAAAGGTTGCGATCGGCCGTGCTCGCGGCCCCCCCCCCCTCTTGGTCGCCCCCGAGTTCCTCGGGGCCAGGCTTCATCCCGAGACGTGTTGCACGGTCCCGGGCAGGGTAAGGGCCCAATTCGAGGCGGAAAACCGCAATAGAAAAGAAATCGGCCCTGAGGTCTCCAGCATCGGAAAAAAAAGTCCTGAAAATCGGGACGACTGAAAAAATCGATTGAACGTATTTTCTTCTTTAAATGAAAATATATAGAAAAAAATGTTTCAGCCGCTTCCTCCCCTGCCCCGCTCCCACTTGGGGCGCGCCGGAGGCACCGCCGTGCCCCTCCCCATCGCCTCTCCCCATGAGGACGCCGGCCGCACCGCGGACGCGCGGATCCAGGAAATCCAGGCCGACCCCCAAAAGCCTACGGCAGGTTCGTGCGGCGTCGGCGCGCGCAAAGGCTTTTGACACCGCGCCGATCGTTCAACCTTGAATCGATCGCGGTCCCGATCGTTCGAGGTTGAACCCCTCGGGCCCGATGGCGTCACCGCGTCCCTCGGTGCATCCGCGCCAGACCTCAACCTTGAACGCCTTCGCCAGCGTCGCCGGCGCGCCAACGACGCATGAACATACAGCATGTTCATGCTGCCTCTTGCTCTTCGACGGGAAGGCGTGGGGTTGGACGAGCGAGGGATCTCTGCGCACCGACGGTCGCCGTTCTTTAAAGGGGCCCCAGAACACACAAATAAATACACACAAATAAACAGATTCCCCACATTTTCCCATATTTTCTAAGCTTCTGTCTTCCCCCCCACTTCCCATATTTTCCCATCTTTTCCTTGGACTCGACGATTATGTGTCTGTGTGTTTCCTTTCCTCCTGACTCTTCCCCTCCGGGCGGCCGGCAGCGGGCCCCGAGCAAGAGGAGGTGCCTTCGACAGCGCGGGCAGGCGCTCGCCGATGGAGCTCCCGGTGGTGTTCCACCACGTGGGCCTGGCAGCGCTGCCGGCCTCTTCCTCCCCTCCTCCTCCTCCTCCTCCTCCTCCTCCTCCTCCTCCTCCTCCTCCTCCCTCCTCCTCCTCCTCCTCCTCCTCCTCCTCCCTCCTCCTCCTCCTCCTCCTCCTCCTCCTCCTCCTCCTCCTCCTCTTTCGGGGGCGTCCAAGGAGGGGGGGGGGCGTCCATGGGGAGGCCTTCGCGAGGCAGGGCCCCCCAGGCACGAGCGCGGACGTGAGGGGGGCGCCAGGGGACGCACAGAGAAGAGCAGAAGAGGGGCCTGGAGGTCTTATGGCGACGAAATCTATACATATCCACTGCTCCCAGGCCAGGCCCATCCTCAACCCCGCAGCGGTGTATACGCCACGCCCTCCTGGCTTGGCCAGGAGGGCGCATACACAGCTCCTGGGTTCAAGATGGGCATGGTCAGGGAGCAGTGGATATGTATAGATTTCGTCGCCCGAGGTCTGGGGAGGAGCCCTGGGACACGCAAATAAGACAGACACGAATCCCAGGATCCCCCATGTTTTCCCATATTTTCTGGGTCTTCGTCCTCCCCCCCCACTTCCCATTCCCATACTTTCCTGGGAGTCGACGATTGATCGTGTCTGTGTGTGCTTTTCCCCTCCTGAGCCATGATATGCACGCCCCCCTAGTCACTAGTCATCGCACCCTTTTGGCCGCCCCGAATCTTGCATAGGCACACGGAAATACTCCCAGACCCAATGCCCTGCCGGCCTCACCAAAGCTGCAAGCTCAAGCGAAGTACCCCCCGGAACTCCTGCGGAAGCTCCTGCAACCCGGTCGCGCGGTCAGGTGGTCAAAACAACCCAGTGCAAAATCACACTGGCAGGCATGAGGATACTCTGCCGATGAACTCTAAGACCTGGGTCTTCGCCACGCCTTTGGACTCACTTTGCCTTCTGCGAGGCTTCTCGTCGCCGCGGCGGGATGCCCCTCGAAAGACTGGAACGAGCGCAGCCCACGGGAGCGGTAAGGGTGGCCTCGGAGCCCGACGCCCACGCAGGCGGCGGCTCGAAGAGACATCGAGGCGACAGCTGTCCAGGCATTGTGGGTGCAGGGAGGCCCGGGGGCAACGAGTCAGGCAAACTCGAGGCGCCGGTGTCTGGGACTGCCCCTGGCATCGCGCAAGCGCACGGACGAGGAGCACTACCCGAAGAGTCAAACACCTCCGCAATGGAAGCTCTACCACGGGTCCGGAGGTATGATCCATCACTCCGTCCCTTTCTGGTCGACTCTGCGTGGTCTCTTGGGCTCTCATGTGTGGGTCCACGGAGGAGACGGGCTCTGGGAAAACTGGCGAGGAGGAGGACTCGGAGGCCTCTGAGCTAGAGGCCTCGGGGGGCCCAGACAGGGCAAAAAAAATCACGAGCCCCGATTCTCGATCTTCAAAAAGATCTTCGAGGAGGAGCAGGCGGAGAATGAGAGGGAGGACGAGGAGGGAAGGAGGAGGACGAAGGGGATAGGGACGGGAGCACAGGGAGGAGGGAGACGGGGAGGATGGGGGAGAAGGGGGCCAACGAGCGCAGGCAGAAGAGGCGAGCGCCTTCATCCCGCCCTAAAATGTGCAACATCGAGAACGATCACGCCGTGAGCCCTGGACCCCATGCTTCTGGGTCAGTCTTCGAGCCAAATCGATCGGGATCCTAGGGCCCGATATCGTGCGAAAACGTCCGGCTTGCAAGAATCGAGACACCGGATTAATCCGTGAGGGCCGTGCGAAAACGCGCGGCCTGAAAGAGCTGAGAGACCCAGACCTCAAGAGGGGAGGATAAGGAGGAGCAGGGGAGAGAGGAGGAGGAGGAGGAGGAGGAGGAGGAGGAGCAGCAGGAGGAGGAGGAGGAGGATTAGGAGGAGCAGGAGGAGCAGGAGGAGGAGGAGGAGGAAAAGGAGGAGGAGAGAGAGGAGGAAGGAGGAGGAGGAGGAGGAGAGGAGGAGGAGGAGGGGAGAGGGAGAGAAGGAGGAGGAGGAGGAGGAGGAGGAGGAGGAGGAGGAGGAGGGGAGGAGTCCCATCCTCCTCACCATGACCATCCCCCTTCCCATACACCTACACATGTCCTGGAGATGTATCGACATGTGCGTGTGTGTATGTGTATATATATATATATATGTTACACACACACACACACACACACACACAAATGTATGCCCCCAGAGACTGGCGCGCCCGCCTCTGGGCGCCCGCGCCCTCCGCGAAGAGGCGCCGGAGGAGCCCCGCCCGCCGCACCGTGGAGGTGACCAGCACGGGCACCTGCCGGGGGGGAGGAGGAGGAGGGAGGAGGAGGAGGAGGAGGAGGAGGAGGAGGGAGGAGGAGGAGGAGGAGAGGAGGAGGAGGAGGAGGGGAGGAAGAGGAGGAGAAGGAGGAGGAGGAGGAGGAGGAGGCGAAGCAGAAGGAGAATGAGAAGGAGGAGGAGGAGGAGGAGGAGGAGGAGGAGGGAGGAGGGAGGAGGGAGGAGGAGGAGGAGGAGGAGCAGGAGGAGGAGAGGCTGCAGTGCCACGGCGGCGCCTCGGGGGGGGGGGCCGGCGCTGCCTGCGCGCTCGGCCGCCCAAGGCGAGCTCACTTCTACAGGTGGGGCTTTGACCCAAGGAGCCCTAGATCAGGAACGAGGCTCCCTTTTGCCATGGGCGAAAAACTCCGATTGCCCATCGAAAACCCGAGGAAAACAAACGGCGAACTGCAAAACAGCTAAGGAACACTGAGCCCCTCCCAAAACGGAAGTTCCTCTTCCGGCGCCCCGATTGCAAGTCCGCACGCTGGGGCGGGGTCGGCGGGCCCACACGCAGGCTCCGTCGTCATCGCATCCGCAGATCGGATCGACTCGGAAGCGGCTCCGGATCGGGCTGCCTCGGCCCGGAGTCGAGATCGAATCGTGCATCGGCCGCGCCAGGATGCGCAGCAGCGCAATGCAAGCGTCGGGCCTCGTCGGATCGCCCAAAGTCGAATCGGATCGACCTGGCCGAGAAGGACACGGAATCGAATCGAATGGATCGACGGACTCTGACACGGGATCGAATCGAACTGTTCGATGGACCTGGCCAAGAACGGAATCGAATCGGAATCGAGTCGGATCGATGGACCCTGACACGCCGTGACGACCTGCGCGCTGGCTTCCCGACACCGCGTGGATCGCGCCGAGAGCCCCGACCGCGCCGATCGCTCGACGTCGGCCGCTTCGCGGCCGGCGGAGCTCCACCTCGAACGCCCGCGCCTCGACAGGACACGACCCTGCCGTATATGATGGGCTTGTTTTCCACCCACCACCATAAGTGAGAGGGGGGAAGGAGTAGGAGGAGGAGGAGGAGGAGGAGGAGGAGGAGGAGGAGGAGGAGGAGGAGGAGCACCTCCCCCTCCAACTTATGGTGGTGGTGGTGGAAAACAGGCTCATCAGTATACTCCCGACCAGCGTCAAGAGCCAACAGGCGCTCTCGAACGCGTGAGGCGTCCACCCTGCGCCCCCACGCCCACGACTCCCGGGGTCCGCGTCCCGTCCTGCTTTTTCTCGGCCCGTTCGGGGGAGGCGCAAGGGAGGAGGAGGAGGAGGAGGAGGAGGAGGAGGAGGAGGAGGAGGCGTGGGGCAGGGGCAGAGGTGGGGCTGGGAGGAAAAAAATCGCTCCGAACGGCCCCTGGGAGAAGGAAGCGTGAGCATCCAGCTGGGCCCGCTCCCCGGCCCCGCCTCGGGAACGAACCCCCGCTCCGCGAGCCCCCGACCCGTCCACTCGTGGGGCGGCGGGGCCTGCTCGTCCGGCAAGGCGCCGGGGAGGTCTGAGAGCGGGGAGCCCGTCACCACGATCAGCAGCTGCTCCAGCAGGACCAGCAGCAGGTCTGGCACGCCCGCCTCCTCGGTAAGGGCGGCGAGGTACGAGAAGACGGTGGCGCGGCGGCTCTTCTTCGAGGAACGCTTCTCCAGCGCCTGGCTGTGCTTGGTGGCCTTCGCGAAGAGGATGCGTATCACCACCGGGAGCAGGGCCACGCGGTGCTGGTAGAGTTTGGCGCCAGCGCCACCACTCTCCCCCTGGGTTCCAGCGTCCGCCGCCGCCGCGTCGGCCTCCTCCCCCGACCGCGTCACCGACAGCGACAGCAGCTCGTGGTGGAAGGTGCTGTCCGCGCAGAGGCGGAGGAGGCTCGCCTCGCAGGCGGCCATGTGCGGGAACGTCCGCCGGCAGCGCGCGAGGACCTTGACGGCGAGCTGCTGCAGCTCCGCGTCCTGCTCCAGCAGCAGCCAGTGGAGGCAGCCGTGCACGCACTGCTGCACCAGCGGCGGAGCGCACCCCTCGATGGACGGGATCGAGGCAACGCCCTGCAGCGCGTGCAGCAGGCTCGCCTTGCTGCCCGTCCGCCCCGCCCTGCCGAGGCCGTACCGCTCGCGCAGGTGCTCCGCCAGCTTGGCCAGCAGCCACTCCGTGTGCTGCCTGCCCAGGGTCTCCTGCCAGGGGGCCAGCGTGCCCGGCTTGGCGGTCCAGAAGTTCTGCTCCAGCAACTTCGTGGCGAGCTGCCACGCCAGCCTGTGCAGGGTCAGGCCGCTGGTCGACGGGGCCTCCCACTCGGCAAGCTCGTCCCAGACGTGGTCCAGCACCTTCTGCCAGCCCCGCGCGCCGCCTCGCCACAGGATGGACTCCGCCGCGTCCAGAGGGCCCTCCACTCCGAGGGCGAAGCCATTCTGCTTCCGCTTGGGCTTCTGCACCTGCGCCGAGCTGTGGTGTTTTTTCTGGCCTTTGTCACCTTCAGCATCCTCCTCTAGTCCTGCGCGTTCTTCGTCAGGCACTTCGTGAGCCAGGATAAGCTTTGTAGCAGCCGCCCAGATCACCTCCGTCCACCACCACGCGGCAACCTGATTGTCCCAGTCGACGGCGGCGGTGCATGGCCTCGACTGCAGCCAGGGGTCCAAGGACACCTGCACGAAGTCTGCCGGCTCCTCGGCATCAATGAGGCCCACGCCCGGGCCCACGCCTGCGGCCGCCGCCCCGCCGCTCCTCCTTCGGCGCTTCCCGGGCGGCGGACCAGCGGCAGGCTCCAACGACTGGGAGCCGCCCTCCGGCGGGGGCGGCGGCCGCTCTCCCGGGAGCCCCGCGCCCGCGGCCGCGGCGGCCGCGCCGCCCTGGGCCGTGCCGCCCGCGGCGGCCTGGCCCGCCGACGGGGCGCCGCTGGCGGCGCCGCCGCCCCCCGGCGCCGCGCCGGCAGCGGCGTCCCCGCCCCCAGGCGCAGCTGCGCCGCCCGCCGCGGAGGCCGCGCCCGCCTCGCGCTTGCGCTTCTTCCTCCGCCTCTTCGCCGCGGGCGCCGACGACTCCTTCCGAGCGGCAGCGAGCCCGCCCGTGTCGGCCGACTCGGAGGCCAGGAGCAGCAGCGCCTCCTGCGCGGGGCCCCAGGCCGTCGAGAGCTTCACGAAGAGCTGGCTGACCAGAATCTGCGCTGCGAAGTTGCTCGCCCAGCTGCTCGCGGGCAGGCGGAGCATTGCCCTGGCAACCTTGCGGGTCACATCTGCACGGGACCGCTCGCTAAACATAGAGATGTCCATGTCCTCGAGGTCCCTGCAGAGGCGCAAGAGCTTTCTCGTCGTGTCGTCGCCGTCGTTCTCCTCGGCATGTGGAACCTCCTCCTCGTCCTGCTCCACCTCCTCCGTGCCCGCCGATCTACCTGGCGAACGAATGCGCCGGGACAGCAGCGGCCGCGGGAACACCAGCGCAAGCCTGACGACACCCTGTCGAACCCGGCGATCTGGCGAGGCCGCCCCAGCGCAGCAGGGCAGCATGGCGCGTGCCATCACGGCGGCCTGGGGAGGAGCCACGCTCGAGATCTCGGAGATCGCCTCACTGGCTGTGTAGAGCACCATCGGCTGGAGGGGAGGCTCCAGCGCCAAGCTGAGCAGCCAAGGGGTCCAGTCCGCAGGGCCCGTGGCTGCAGAAGCCCCGCCACCCTCTGCGGGCCAGGCGCCCGGCGGCAGAGGCGGCGACTGCCCCGCGCCGCAGGCAGCCAGGCCCGAGATGGCGCAGCCGATCAGCCTGGACCGCACAAGCGCGGCGTGCCTGGAGGAGGCCGCGCTCTGGCAGGTAGCCTTCGGCACCAGCAGGGCGAAGCTCCGGGCCACGTCGGCAGGCCCGAGGTGCCCACAGGCTCCGAGGCCGGCGTGCGCCGGCGAGGCGGCGCCGGCCTGGCAGAACGACAGCGCGCAGCCGGCCGCCGCGGCGGCGTGGGAGAGCTGCCGCTGCTCTGCGCTGGCGTCGCCCGCAGGCACGCTCAGGGCGTCCTCCAGCAGCGTGAGCAGGCGGCCGAGGAAAGCGCCCCGAGAGCCAGGGCTGCCAAGTCCTGCCGCGGGCAGCGCCAGGCACTCCCGGCCCGCGCCCCGGAGCAGGGACGAGCACAGGGCGGCCGCGGCCGCGTGCACGTGAACCTCTGGATAGCTGGACGTCACCGCAGCGGCTCCAATGTCAACCAAACGGGGAAAGAGGGGCGACCCGCAGATCTTCGGAATCAGATCGGGGAGCACCACTTCAGCGAGCAAGTTCAAGTGATCATCACTGACACAACTGGTCTGGGTGATGTGACCTTCCCCAGCCAACGTCCTGACAAAGAGGGAATCACAGAGGCCCCCGGCAAACACTGACGGTAATGCACGCCACAGTAACATGGTCGCACGTACCACGGCCTGCGGCAACGGCAGCGCCGTCGGAGGAAAGCTTGTGCCGTCGGAGCACTTCTGCACCAGGCGCTTGTGCTCACGCCGCTTGCTGGCCGCGGACAGAAGTCCCTGGAAGCCGAACACCGCAGCCTCGGCGAAGGCCACCCAGCCCTCGTCTTCTCCGAGCTTGGGCGCTGGCTTTGCGTGCACCCAACTGACGATGAGATCGACGTAGAAGAGCACCTCCTGCTCATCGTCCTCTGCGGTCCAGTCTGCCAGCTCCGCCACTGCCGCAGCGGCGCCATCGCCGACGCACTGGGCCATCGTAACGTCTGGCTGCTGCTTCTCTGATGCCGGCACAGGCGAGGTCCTCGCCACGACGGCCCCATCAGCTCCGCGCTGCTGGGCGGACGCGTACCGACGGACCGCGTCGCGAAAGCACTTGAACATCAGATCCAGGACGTCCGCAGCACCATCAACTGATCCAGCATGGTTACGCATGCGTAACAACATGGCCTTGATGGTCCACAGCTGGGACGCTCTTGCAGCAGCCGAGAAACTGCTAGCCTCCTGCCCCCGCACGTGGACGCGGAACAGAGGCCGGAGGATGTGCGGCAGCTGCGTGTGAAATCCCCGCTGTATCCCCTTTGCGGCCTCGAAGAGAATGACGCTGAGACTATCAGCGATCGCCGCCAGATCTTTGGGCGCCTGGTCCTTCTCGCCCAAGAGGGCGAACAGACTGGAGAGCGCCGCCTCGATGCGGGCCCCGCGGAGGCGCCGTACGATGAAGGCGAGCGTCTCGCCAGCAAAGTGTCGGATGTACGGCTTGGGATTGGACAGCAGAACCTTGAATCCGCCACCGTGCCCCCTGGCACGCTCAGGGGTGGTGGAATGCCAAGTGCTGTCTGGCAAGGCTTCTGCATTCGAACAAGGGACCCCCTCTACCCGCAGACTGCCGCCTGCATCGGCCACCCCCGCCCGAGGCTCCCTGGGCTGCCCGACGCCTCCCTGGCGCTCTCCAGTGCGTCCAAGGTGCCCCAGAGGGAGTCCAAGACGGCCCAAGCAGGCCACCAAGGCCGCCAAGACGCCCCAACATGCCTCCAAGATGGCCTCGGATAGCCCCAAGATGGCCTCGAGCAACCCGAAAGGCCTCCAAAGGCAGACAAGAGCGATCCACAGAACCTTCTGCAAGGCCCAACGAGGCTAAAATCCTTGATCTTTCTTTGGCGTTCTTATGTCGCGTTCTCGCCTTTTGGATCATCCATCGGCTGAAGACAGATGAACAAGCCTCCAAGATGGCCCCACGACGGCCCAAGAGGGCCTCAAGATAGCCCAAAAGGCTTCTAAGACAGCCTCAGGGCGGCCCCAATGGAGCCAAAAGCTAGCCCAAAGAGGCCTCTGGAGCGACCCAAGACAGCCTACGAAGTTCCCTGGACGGCCCAAGACGGCCCCACGACGGCCCAAAGAAGCCCCCCAGACGGCCCAAGAGGGCCCAAAAGGATCCCCAAGACTGCACCACAGGAAACCCAGCCAGCCGCGAGACGGCCTAAATGAGGGCCCCTCCAAAAGTCAAGACGACAAATTATGGCATGTGTCCTCCTCCTTCACCACCATCACCTCCTCCTACCCCTCCTCCTCCTATTCCCAATCCTCCTTCTCCTCCTCCTCCTCCTCCTCCTCCTCCTCCTCCTCCTCCTCCTCCTCCTCCTCCTCCTCATCGTCCTCCTCCTGCTCATCCTCCTCCTTCTTCTCCTCCTGCTCTGTGTGTGACGCTGCGCGGACCTTCTGCGTCAGCTTGTGGCGCTATTCGTCCTGATCCTCCTCCTCGTATGTTCTTAGTAGTGTTACCAGTATCCGTGGCAAAAGTCGTATTGGTAGTCTACTTAGTCATTACATTAGACTCAGTATCACTGCTGATAGCCGAAGTCTGCGAATTATTCTAGTATTCGTATGATTGCTCGTATTGCTAGTAATGTTCATTATTCGTAGTAGTATCATTATGCTTAGTCGGTTTAAGTCGTCGTACTCGTATGATGGTGATTGATACTAGCAGTAATCCTAGTACTCAGAACAGTTAACTTAGCCTGAACAGATGTAGTATTCGTAGTATGCTCAGTATGGCTTATACTCGCATGATCATTAGCGGTAGCAGTGTTGGTACGAATATTCGCATCGTTAGTTCTGGTATCGGTAGTAGTGGCAGTAGTGGTCGCAGTAATAGTAGCATTAGAAGTAGTAGTAGCAGTGGTAGCAGCAGCAGCGTTAGTGCTTTGTTACGATGAGCAGGATTAGTAGTATCAATAGTGCTAGTGTCCTTGCGATTCGCATTAGTAATCGCAGTAGTAATGTCATTCCTCGTTTCACGATTGCGCATAGTCTTCATTAGATGAGTAGAATGATACTTAGTGTTGCTTCATATGGTTCATAGTATGCGTCTCATTTGCAGTCTTAATATGACTGTTCGTATGACTGTGTGTCTTGCTAGTGTTATGCTTACTCGTCGCATTAGCATGAACAATGTTTGTCCATCTCGTTATCTTCCTCCACCTCCTCCCCCTCCTCCTCCTCTTCCTCATCCTCCTCCTCATCATCATCATCGGCCTCGTCACCCTCCTCTTCTTCCTCCCCCTCCTCCTCCTCCACCTATTCCTCCTCCACCTCCTCGCCCTCCTCCTCCTCCTCCTCCTCCACATCCTCCTCCTCCTCCTGGAGCCTCCTCCACCTCCTTCCCCTCCCCAAACCTCATCTCCTCCTCCTCCTCCTGGTCCTTCTCGTCCTCCTCCTCATCCTCCTCCTCCGCCTCCTCCTCGTCTTCCTCCTCCTCATCGTCCTCGTCCCCCTCCTCCTCCTCCTCCTCCTCCTCATCCTCCTCCTCCTCCTCCTCCTTCTCCTCCTCCTCCCCCTCCTCCTCCTGCACACACTTCATGTTGGTAAGTGGGTTCCTCTGGCCTGAACATGCCCTTCCCATAGGGTCCCCACCTCCATGCTCGAATCCGAGCGGGGTCATCCAAATCTTGTAACTGCCCCCCCAGGCTTGAATCTGGAGGAAGTCTCGAGCGGGAGCCTCGTTAGTGAGTAAATCGCGACGAAATCTCGAGCGGGAGCCCTCGGAAATCCTCCGAAGGTTTCAGGAACCTTCAAAAATCTTCAGGAGGCCCCGGGAGGCACCAGGAGGCCTCAGAGGCCAGAGGCCGCAGGAGGCCCCAGAGCCAACAGGAAACCCTAGGAGGTCCCAGGAGTTCTCCAGGAGGCCCTGGGAGGGCTCAGGAGGTCCCAAGAGCACCCCCGACCCCACGAGGTCCCGGGAGGCACCAGAAGGCTCCAGGAGGCCCCAGGAGGCTCTAGGTGGCAGCAAGAGGCCCCAGGAGGAAGCCGGAGGCCCAAGGAAGAGGCTAGGGCAGGAAGAGAAGGAGACCAGGTTCCAGGAGACCCCAGAGACTCCAGAAGGCAACGGGAGGCACCAGGAGACCCCAGGAGGAGGCAGGAGGCTCAAGGGGGATGCAGGAGGAGGCCAGAGGAAACGGCAGGACGAGGATGAGGATGAGAATGAGGATGAGGATGAGGATGAGGATGAGGGTGAGGACGAGGATAAGGATAAGAATGAGGATGAGGAGGAGGTGGGACGAGGAGGAGGAGGAGGAGGAGGAGAACGAGGAGAACGAGGAGGATGAGAACGAGGAGGAGGAGGAGGAGGAGGAGGAGGAGGAGGAGGAGGAGGAGAGGAGAAGGAGAGGAGGAGGAGGAACGCGAGGAGAAGGAGGAGGAGGAGGCGGCAGGAGGAGACAGGAAGAGGAAGAGGAAGAGGCAAGACGAGAAGGAGGATGACGAGGAGGAGGAGGAGGAGGAGGAGGAGGAGGAGGAGGAGGAGGATATGAATGAGCAGGAAGAGGAAGAGTGCCCCAGGAGGCCGCGGGAGGCCCCAGAAGGCTCCAGGACGCCCAGGAAGCTCCAGGAGGCCCCAGGAGGCCCCAGGAGGCTCCAGGAGGAGACAGGAGGCCCAAGGAGGAGGAAGAGGAGACCCGAGGAGGAGGGCGAGAGAGGATGAGGAGGTGGAGCTAGAGGAGGCAGGAGTAGGCGTAGGAGGAGGAAGAGGAGGAGGAGGCGGAGGAGGACGAGGACGAGGGCGAGGACGACGACGAGGACGGGGACACGAGGAGGAGGAGGAGGAGGAGGAGGAGGAGGAGGAGGAAATGGGAGAAATGGAGAAGAAGAAGAAGAAGGAACAGCAGCAGCACCAGCAGCAGGCAGGAGGAGGCAGGAGGCAGGAGGCAGGAGGCAAGAGGAGGCACGAGGAGGCATGGGGAGGAGGAGGAGGAGGAGGCAGAAAGAGGCGGAGGCAAGAGTGTGAGGCAAGAGGAGGAGGAGGCAGGAGGGTGTAGGAGGAGGGGACAAGAGGAGATTCTCGGGTAGATTAAACATATTATCATGCGAGGCCTTTCCGTCGGAGTCATTTTTGCGGTCAGAGAAGACCACATGACGTGCATTGTGTTGAGATGCTGCTCCAGACACACACACACACACACACACAACACACACACACACATATATATATATATATATATTATATATATATATATATATATATATATATATATATATATATATATATGTATATATATGTTTTCCGTCGGCGGCTAGGCAGAGTCACCACGCTGGCGATGGAGCGCAGGTGAGAGTCACGAAACGCGAATGAAGCCGCACGGCACGGGGGAGGGAGGAGGGGCCCGGCGCAGGGCAAGAGGGCGAGAGGAGCCGAGCCCGCTCGGAGGGGGGCCGGCAGCAGCCAGGGGGGCGCCGGGGGCCGGGTCAGCAGCGGCGAGGCAGCAGCTGGGGGGCAGGCAGCCGGGGCGGTCCCCAGAGGCAAGCGCCCAGGGGAGAGAGAGGGCCAGCAGGAGCTGGAGGCGAACAGCGGGGCAGGAATGCCCAGGGGAGCCGAGGTCACAAGGCCTGCAAGGCAGCCGGGAGGGGGAGACCAACGAGTGGCCACCTGAGAGGATGGGCCGTCCTGAAAAGCAGGCAGGGAGACAGGCGGAATGGGCCCGACGCACGAGTGCCGGCCCGTGAGGGAATGGGTGCCAGACATGCACCGTGGATGCCGAGGTCGTTGATAACCTGCAAGGCACCCCTGAGGCGGAGCAAGCCGGACCAGCCTGCCAGAACCGCCCAGACGGGGCAGGGCGGCCCTGGGAGGTGGGGGCGGCGGCGCGGAGGGGGGCGGCGGGCAGCAGGCGAAGGCAGTGAGCGAGGAGCCCAAGGGAGCTGAGGTCATAAGTGACCTGCGAGGCAACCCAGAGGGGGAGGTCAGCATGGGATCGCCTCAGAAGAGGGGTCGGCCCGGGAGCCGGCGAAAGGGACAGAGTGGACACAAAGCGAGTGCCAGGCTGGGGAAAACAGGCGGCGGCCAAGCGCCGTGGATGCCGAGGCCGCGGATGACCTGCGAGGCATCCCTGTGGTGGCGCGAGTCAGAACCGGCCTGGCAGGGGCATCCAGAGCGGACGGTGAAGCCCCAGGGGCAGGGAAGGCGGCGGCGAGGCAAGGGCGGGGGCCACGAGGCCAGGCGGGAGAGGAGGGCGGGGCGCGGGCAGCACCCAGCGTGTGGTGCAGCCCTCTCTGGGCGGAGGCAGCGGGCAGACCGCCCGGAGCCAGAAGCCTGCAGGGCCACCGCGTCGCCGCAGCGGGCGGACACGGGAGCGGCAGGGCGCAGCGAGGCAGGCGCCTCCGCCCAGAGGGCGAACGGGACGGGGGCGTGCGGCGAGCGGCCCAGGCCGAGGTGGGCCGAGGCAAGGCGGCACCGTGCAGCCGATGCCGGGAGCCGAGGGCGGGCGGCAAACCCAGCCCGCGCTCGG